GAATTCCAGGACGTCCTGGACCCCTGCTGTTGTCGGGTCCACATGGTGTTTTGCGCTCCACCGACAGAATGCCCGCCATGAAGCTTCGTAGATGCGGGTCATTGAAGGACGTCTGGCCGCCTGAATGGTGCTGGCGACCTTGTCTGACACCTTGTCCTTCCTCAGGATGATCCGCTCAAATGCCAGACGGTCAATTGAAGCCACTGGGGCTCTGGATGACTGACCTCCCCCTGGCACAGTACGACCTGGTGTGGTGGAATCACCCACAGTTCGTTCACTGAGAGCGCCACTAGGTCGGCGTACCACTTTCGATGAGGCCAGTTGGGCGCCACTAATAGAAGGGAGGCCCTCTCCGCCAGTAACTTCTGAATGAGGCGCGGTAGAAGTGGAATCGGTGGGAATGCGTATAGAAGGCCTCTGGGCCAATCGCACCGAAGTGCATCGTGATCTTCCGCTTGAGGCATTGGGTAGCGAGACACGAACCGAGGTAACTGCGCGTTGGCTGGAGTTGCGAACAGATCTACTACTGGCATGCCGAACCTTGTGGCCAGTTCCCGGAACAGTCGGGGTGCAGTTGCCACTCCGCCGGGTCTATCAGTTCTCTGCTGAGCCAGTCTGCTCTGACATTGGTCAACCCTGAGATGTGGTCCGCCTTGATCGAGAGGAGGTGTGTTTCCGCCCAGCTGAATAGGGCTTCGGACTCGTACATCACGTGACCTCGTGCCCCCCCCCTCTGTTCACATGCGCCTTGGCTGATATGTTGTCTGTCAGCACCAGGACATGGTGGCCTTGAACTGCTGTTTGAAACTGCTGAAGAGCCAGTCTGATCGCCCGGAGTTCCAGGAGATTGATGCTGCTGTGCCTTTCGCTCGGTGACCACTGGCCCTGAGCCACTAGGTTGCAAAGGTGTGCTCCCCACCCTTGCAGGCTTGCATCTGTGGTGAGAGTCAATCTGGTCGGTTATAGAAATACGCTTCCCTTGAGGAGCGCCTGTGACATCCACCACTTGAGGGATAGGCAGATCTGCGGAGGGAGACGAACTTCGCGCTTCGAGCTGGCCTGGCCTGCCCGTTGAAACGGGAGCAAGAACCACTGGAGGGCTCTCGAGTGTCTGCGTGCCCACAGAACGATGCCGAAGCAGGAGACCATCTTTCCCAGGAGGCCCATAGTTGGAGGACCGGGACTCTCCCTTGTTTCAAGATCTGCTGGATTAGATCTCGAATGCTCTGGATTCTTTCTGGAGATAGGAAGACCTGGCCTTTGTTTGAGTCTATAACTGCCCCCAGGAGGAGGGCAGGGTAGTGGGTTGAAGGAGCCGGGTAGTGGGTTGCAGTTGACTTTTTTCGAAGTTGATCGTGAACCCGTGTGCCTGGAAAGCTTCCAGGACCCGCTCCATATCCCTGACTGCCTGGTTTTGCAACGATGACAAGACCAAAATGTCGTCGAGGTAGCAGAGAATTCGAACTGGGATCGCCCGCAGTGTGGCCGCCACCACCGCCACCAGCTTGGTAAACGTGCGGGGTGCTGAGGAAAGCCCGAACGGCATTGCACGGTATTGAAAATGTTGGCCTGCGTACTCGAACCTCAGGTACTGACGATGGTTCGGGTGAATGGGTACGTGAAGGTAGGCCTCTCGCAGGTCGACAGACTGGAGGAGATCCCCCTGTCTCACCCCCGCTAGGATTGAACGAAGTGAGTGCATTTTGAATTTGCGATTCTGGACCGCTTGGTTCAGCTGCTTTAGGTTTAGAATGGCCCTCCAGCCTCCAGAGTTTTTGGGTACGAGAAAAAAGCTTGAGTAGAAGCCGGAGCCCCGTTGGCTCGATGGTACTAGTTCTATGGCTTTGATTCCTAGAAGATGATCTATCTCCTGTGACATCAGGAGTGTGAGCTCCTTGGAGGCGGGGACGGTGCAGCGCGAGAAGCGATGGGGCGGCCGCCCGGAAAACTCGATAGAAAGACCTGAAGAGGTCGTGCGCTGGACCCACAAGTCCGTTGTTGATTGGGCCCATTGATGGTGGAACAGGAGGAGTCTTCTGCCTATGGGACCCGCTGCTTGTGAGTCACTTCCCTCTCCTGGCGGTTTTGAAGCCAGCTCCACGGAAGGGGCTGTTGAGTGTGAGCTTTACGGAATTTAGCGAGGCATCTGCGGTGTATTCTGTGGCTGCTATGATTTTGTTTATATCTTGATGCATCCTGGTGTCCTCTGGAGGGAGCCTTTCCTGCAATTGCCGCAGCCAGATGAGGGCCGCCCTGCTGAAGAAGGAAGTTGCTGTCGCTGATCTAATGGCCCAAACTGCCGCCTGGTGAGACTTGCGAAAGGCCCACTCGGTCTTTTTGTCTTCTGCCTTGAGGCCGTCCAGGGCGTCAGTGGAAATCATCAAGGAAGAGGTTAATGCCGCTACTGGTTGGTCTACCGATGGGAGGGTTAGAAGATCCTCCATCTCCGGAGCTGAGCAGTAAAGTTTTTTATCCAAACTGCTGGGTGTCGACAAGGATGCTGGTTGCCCCCAGAGGTTCTGAATGACATCCGCGAACAATTGCGGGCAGGGGATGTAGTCTTTCTCCGGTTTGGAAGACTTGAACAGTGCATCGTGGGGCCCTGCCGACACGGTGGCAGGGGTCTCCACATCTCCGGGTACGCCCAGATTAGTCATAAACTGAGCTTTATGGAGAAGGGACTTAAAGAGTGCTGGGCGGAACAGGCCTGTGAAGGCTGGGGAGTCGGGCAACAGCCCCTCATCCTCGGAAAATTCCAAATTTTCGGGTCCCTCCTCAGCCTGGTCTGAGTCATCGGTTGAATCTGCCTGGGCATGAGGCAGCTGTGCAGGTGGCTGTTGGCGGTGAAGAGAGCCCTGGCCCCCCAGCGCTTGTAATGGACCTTGAGAGGTCTGCTGTAATCCTGCAGCCAGGAAGGATGAGAACGCTGACGACAGCATAGCCTGGAAAGCCAGCTGAGAGGGTGGCATAGGTGCCTCTGGCGAGCGCAGGCCTGCCGCCGTTGGAGTAAAGGTTGCCTCTGCCGCGCGTTGCTGAGCACGTGCTAGACCGGCTCCAGACACGTCTGACATCGATAGGGAAACCCCCTTTGCGCGCAGTAGGGCATGGCCCGACCTGCTGAGGTCTGGCGTCACCGGAGATAAAGCCAATTCCGCCAGGCTTGCCATGATAGGCGTAGCTTCCCCTGAGGCCCGCATGCTTTTTGCTGGACTAGGCTCCGTGGCTGTCACGGCCAGTGCAGCCTTCTGGGGTTTGGCGTATTGGTGCTCCAGAGTCTTGTGCATCCTTGTCCTGGATGAGAGGAGCCTTGTCCACCCTGCTTTTGTAGCTGGAGCTGCCAGACTTTTTCTTTTTGGAAGACCCCGCCTCCCTGCGGGGGGGGGCTCAGCTCCAGCTCCAAGTCTGATGACAGATGGGAGTCAGACGTAACTGCCACCTCCAGATGTGCCCTCCAGAAAAGGAGAATCTGCTTTGCAGGGGGTATGCAGAGCTCCTGGAATAAAGCAGCGCTCTTCCTGGTCGTGAAAGGCTGCTGCTAAAGATCACTCAAAATGGTGGCCCGAAGGTCCCCCAAAATGGCAGGCGCACATGGCACCAGGATCTTGCAGGGCTGGGGAGGCAGCGGTCTCACAATGGCGGCCTGAGGGTCCTACCAAATGCCGCGCTCAGCCCATGGCGTTCCAATCGGCCCCTGTCCCCTGGGGGCTCAAAACTGCTCCTCGCGGCGATCTATGGCTCCCCGAAGCGTTCCCCTCGCCTCCGCTCTTCCCCCGACTTACAGCTGATGGGCGCGTTGCCAGGAAGTGCCGAGAAATGCCAATTGTGAAAGCCACTTCTCTGCGCTGTTTAAACTGACGAGGCGGCTGCTGAGTGCTGAAGCGTGGGCGGGCTGGAGTCCGCTCCGCTTCCCAGCTGATGAGCGCTTCGCCGCTCTTCGCTGCTTGAAGCAGCCCGAGAAGAAAAGGATATTCAAAAATAAAGAAAAAAGCCTAAACGCTGCTTTGGAAAAGGGAAAAGGCAAAAACTTGCACGAGCTCCAAAAATCACCTCAGTGTTTGCCAGCAACTGAGTGAAGACTGGGGAATCATGGGATTTGGGGGCGTGGCTGGGCAGCAGGAAAGGGAAATTAGCTCTAACTCAGTTGTTGCCAAGCACTGAAGGATTTAACCCATTGATGGATAGTGGGAGCAGCGCACAGGAAAAGGATCTAAACTTATTCTTATGGAATGGAACAGCCTTGTAGTTTGGACTACACTCAGTATCTGAAATCTTGACTGGTCTTTCTTTGGCTTTATCTATTTATGGTTAGGAGATTTAAAATAAAGCCTTACAAGGGGAACAAATTTAACACAATAGCATCTATGAGTTCTGGCTTCTTTCTGGCATAAAAGTAATTATTTTTCTTTTTTTTTGCTGCTGGAAGATAAATTAGATAAAGAAGACTGATCACAGTTCTTCTCAGCAATTAAACAACCTTGGTTCCAGAAAAGGTGGATTTGATTGAAGAAATTCTATATAGAACATATTATGATCTCTCAAAAGGATCAGTAAAATTTATTCCAATATATATTAAAAAAAAAACTTGTTCACATAAAACTTTATCATATATTGCTAATTAACATGGTCCCAAGGAATAGATAAATAAGCAAAGTTCTTTAAGATCCTGAATCCATGTCCCAATTTCTCAGCCTAATTTTCCAACTACTCCTTTGTTAAAATGAAAGATTCTAGCTTTGAACTGAAAGCATTCATAAATGAATCACAGAACTGTGAAAGAATTTTTTTCCTTCAAGCTACTCCAACTGCAGGCATAAGTAGCTATTCCCACTAACTATAAAATAAAGCAAATGGTGAAATTTAACTGTTACTCATGGTAACTGTGTCCTGTTTATCCTGTTTTGCTCCATTCCCACCATTATTAGGAATAACTACTGAGACTACAATAATTATAATTAAAATGAGAACTGGGAAATGATGAAAAGAGTCCTGAAAATATTTACCTTCCAAAATCACAAAGTTTTAGAACAGCTGTGTCAGGGTCCAACAAAAGATTCTGTGGTTTTATATCCCGATGACATATCCCAAAGGAATGGATATAGGCTAAACTTCGGAATAATTGGTACATATACAACTGTAATATAAAAAAACAAATATTATGATCAAAGCTTCCATATCAAAACACTGGCAAATAGAAAATTTTATAAGGTTTTTATAATACTTGAAACACTATCTCAATAAGCATTTTTTTTCTTCATAACATACACATTTACTCATTTTACAAAACATTTTTTCACATTTCTTTTGGCATAGAAGGTACAGTACAGGTGTTCTTCAACTACAACTTCCAGTAGGCCTCAACAAGCATGGCTAACTGTAAAGAATGCTGCATTAGGGAAATCAAAGCAGTTAGATGTATAGAAATTATCACAATGATACAAAAATATAATTTTATCTAATTTATCTAATTTATAATATAATAGCTATTTAATTAGCTTCCATCATTAATGTTTTTTTCTCACATTGGACAAAATCTATTTATGTAACACAACCCTAGTTGTAGAATATTAAGAATATATCTTATATTATTCTATATAACAGTCCTTCATATAAGTCTTCCCCTTTGGAAAAAGCTAGCTATATTTACCTGAAATGCAACCCAAAGCAACTTGGAATGTCTTATTCAGTGCAAACATAAAATGAATTATGGGTTTCCTGTTTGTTGGAATGTTTTCAAACAAAAGCTTAATAACCACTATCAAGGATAATTTAACAAGCTTGTGTATTAATACTGATCCATTCCAACTCCTCCATTCTAGGATGGATGGATGGATGAAAGGAAGGAAGGAAGGAAGTTTGATGAACGGAAGGATGATCAGCTGAAGGGTTAACACTGGGCAGTTAAAAATTAAGTGGGAACTATGCCTGGTCACATAGCAAGGGGGAGAGGTGGAAACGGAAGGCCCCTGTAAACAGTTTGGAAGTATTAGAATGTTCTGAGCACAAACAACTTTGCCTCCATAAAAATATAAATTCATGTATATAAATCACAAAGAACACTAAAAAAGAATGAATAGTTAGTAAATAGCATCAAAAACCATTAAACTGTCCAAGAAAAAAAGGCCAAACATCTTTCAACGTATCAGGATGCAATGAAGCAAGCAAGGACTGCAATAGTGGTGAGAGAAAGTTTGTGAACCATTTATGAACCATGTATATATCTGCAGGACTGCTTGTACCCTGTTGTATTAGCCTGGGCCATTAGATCTGGAATAGAGCTCATGTTGCAGGTCCCATCAGCTAGGAACCTACGTTTGATGGGTCCAGGAGATATTCCTTCTCTGCCGTGGTGCCTGATTTAACACACACACACACCGGCAAATAAATCAGCTCCATCCCTTTTGTTATTACAAAAAACCCCTCAAGATTTGGTTATGTTATCAAGCTCATTCATAGTGAGATGGCAATCAAGTGTGAATTTGAGAAACTTGGCCCTATTTTTTAAAAAACCCCACATATTAGGGGTTACCATCAGAATCTGCTTCTTTTTGACGATTTGTAGAAGTGAATCCTATCCCTATAAGATATACCATATTTTTTGGAGTATAAGACACACCTTAGTTTTTGGGGAGGAAAATAAGAAAAAAAGCTGATTGGCAGGTGGATTGGCCTCCCGGAATACCCCCAATCAGCTGTTCCCAGAGGTGAATTTTAGCAACAGGTTCATTGGTTGTGATCTCTGTACCTTCCTCTTTTTTTTGCTTTTTTTCCTGCCTCTGAAACTTCTGAAATTCTGTTTCAGAAAAAAACTTTTTTTTCCTGCCTCTGAAAGCCTCCGAAACAGAAAAAAAGCCTCTGAATCTTTGTTTGAGGGCTTCTTTTCTGAAGCTTCATTTCTGATGCTTTTTTCAGCCTCTGAAACCTCCATTTGAGAAGCTGGGTGGGGCTACATTCAGAGTATAAGACGCACCTAGATTTTCATCCTCTTTTTGGGGGGGGGGGAAGGTGCATTTTATACTCTGAAAAATGCGGTAAATTCTATATTTATACTATAGAGTATAAATAACTGAAGAGAGCTCAGAAAAAGGTTTTTTTAATGTTCATAAGGCTGGAAAAGGCTATTGTGGAAAAATTAGGCCTCTATCAATCCAAAGGCAGCCACATGGTGAAGAAAATACCATTGTTACCCTTCCTAGGAATGGCTGGTCTAGCAAAAATCAGCCCAAAAGCAAGACGTACAATTCTCTGAGGGACAGCAGAGGATAATGGCAAAGGATTTGTAGATCAGTCTTACATTATCTAATGCCAGTGCTCATGAATCAACCAAAAAGAAAATCATGAACAGGAGTGATATGCTTGAAGGATAACCAAGGAAGAAACCATTGCTGACTAGAAAGCATATTGTTTCCTGTCTTGTTTGCCAAAGAGCATCTGAATAATCAACAGTCTACTAGAACAAAGTTCTCTAGATAGGTGAGACAACCATGGAATGTTCTGGCATTAATGAAAAACATGATTTTTTTGGGGGGGGAGGGGGGGAATAATGTATTCCAGAAAAGAAGTCTCTTTCAGCCAATCATCAAATGCTGTAAAGAGAAACTGCTCATAGACTTGTCCCAAAGGTGCTTTCTTTCAAACCACCAGGACCTGGATCTCCATAGTCATTTGTTTATAGTCTCATACTTCTAAAAGATGAGGCTGAGAAGCACTGCTTCCCTATGGTAGTGCCAACATTCAGGAATGGCCTTCCTACAGACATCGGCCTCATCACTTCCTATTGACTTTCAGGAAAATGCTGAAAACAGTTATTCCATTCTCTTAACTTGAGCACTAGGCCAGGGGTGTCAAACTCAATTTCATTGAGGGCCGCATCAAAGTTGTGTTTGACCTCGGGAGATGGCTAGAGTGGGAGTGACCAGCTCGACATCACTGTCGGGGGCACCTGTGGTGGCCCAAGCAAAAACAGGCTCCCGAGCTGTTTTCGGCTGCCAAGGCCTCCTGCAACCCACTGCCAGTGAAAATGGAGCTCTGTTTTCACTGGTAGAGAGCTGCAGGAGGCCCTAGCAGCTAAAAGCGGAGCTCATGAGCCCGTTTTCTCTGGCAGAAGCACCGCAGACCAGTCCTTCGCTGTTTCCAGGGCTTCCCCGCAGGCCAGATCTAAGTATCCTGCAGGCTGGATACTTGAGTTTGACACCCCTGCACTAGGCCATCCTTCTCCTTTTAATTCGTCTTGTTCTTATTCTTGTTCTCTTCATTTAAAAATGTATGCTGTTATCATTCATTTTAATGTTACCATGGATGTTTTAAATTTGCTATTCTTTATATTGCTATTCTCTATGTTTGATAAGCTGGCAAGAGTTAGTCGGGTTCCAAATAAATTAATTAATGAATTAGTCTCATCCCAAATATGAAGCATGATGGTGGGAATCCCATAGTCTGCAGTCTCCAAATCAGAATGGCTTATAATCACTGTGGGAATGGATCATTTGCAAATTCCAAAGAAGAACATCAAATTGAAGCTTAAATGAATATGAGACATGCATCCTAAACACACAAGTAATGGCATCTGCCACAGTCTTTTCTTATTTTTTTATTCTGTCAACTGCCCTTCAATAGAAGATAACCATTCAAATTTGCAAAAAGACGTATTTGCATGAAGTAGAGGTTTCTCAGCTTCTGTTTGCTTCAGGAGTCACTGAAACAAACAAATCTGATAGGATGTCTACATGTTTAATTATTTATTAATGTAATTATCTATTAATTCCTACAGATGCAACAGAGAAACACAAAGTTTCTTCAATCCAGAATATTAGGCACATTCTGTGAAATACTAACAGCAATTAATTCCAGGGTTACCATCACCAGAGTCTCACCAGCAACAACATTCTCCAATGGGTTTGATACCTATAAGGGTTTAATGAAAAGTAGTGCCACCATTTCCATAGCTTAAGTTTAAATCAGGAATTTTTAATAAAAGAAAAAGGAAAACGGAATCACTTGATTGAATGAGGGACTATAAAAATTAATAAAATAAGTAAAATCTTTGAAATGAGCTCTTTTATTGTTTGTATTTACTTCTGTACATAGTCAATACCATTTGCTACATACATCTGCCAACATTGTGAGATCCAACTTTGCAATTGTCTCTTGGATGGCTGGAGGTGTAAAGCATTGCCTTGTGTTTCCAAGCTTGCTCAATTGTTTTAAAATTGTGACTGTTGCAATGTTGTACTTTTTGTTGACAGCTAATTCAAGGAAATCCATATGAATACTTTCATCTGCATTCCTCACTCCAAAGGTAACCATGAATTTTCCTGCTGAAGCCTAAGTTTTGTTTTGTTTTACCCCCTGCAGCTTTGTGATATTCCATGCACTGATGCTTCATTTCTGGATCATAATGATGAGTTCATATTACATGTATTGTCACAATGCTATGAAGAAATTACTCACTTTCATTCTCTTGAATGAAAGAGATAGATAGGTTTCTCTGAAACAAAATCAACAAAAATTGATAGGTTTCAGTTCTTGAAACTTTCTTCTCTGCCATCAGCATTCTAAGAAACCATCTAGCACATAGTTTGCACACATTGCCTAGCTTGATAATTTAGCAGCTCTAAATGATCTGCTAACTGTCTTTAATCAGTTTTTTAACCTTTCTCATCTGAAACTCAGTGGTTATTATCACAGACTGCCCACTTGATTACAGAAACAGATTATTCACCATCTTTCCATTTTTTGACCTAATGACACAGTATTTACAACCAGTGTCCTAAACTGCATCTGTCAATGAATTTCAATTTTTGATGTGATTGGCAATCAAAAATTCACTCACATCACATTGCTTAAAACTTAATGACAGGTTTCAACTTTATAAACAATAGCCATACAATTTTTGTTCACAGGCATTTCCATCAAATGAAGTGAAAGAACTGATGTTAGTACTGCCATCTCTTGGTGACTTTTAGTACAAGCCATTAAATTTCATACAACTCTCATATAAAACAACACCATCCAACAGCATTTTAGCATGAAAGTTTAGCATCCATTCCCACAACAAAATTGAAGTAGAGGAGTGTTAAAGGGAAAAGGAAACAACATTTACTGTTTCTCTCCAGAAACAGAGCAGGAAGAGATAATGGCTGTCTGTCAAAAGTAGTCTGCTTTATGGAGTATTCTTTGAAAATAGAGGCCCAAGTTCCACAAATCTTCCAGGGGGTGAAAAGTCAATCAACCATAGTCAGCACAAATTCCAAAAAAACAAATTGCAAAATGGAAAGAAGAAAAACAAAAGAAAGGGAAACAACAAGCAATTCAAATAAAATGTTAAAGTACGTGGCTTTGAATACCCATGATGGAGGTGGAGGATATTATGCTATCAAATACGGACAGGTCTAGGACTTTTCGGCTTGAACTCTTGGCACTGCCTGTTTCTCCACCAGGGTTTCGCCTCTGTGTTATTACGCCTCGGCACTTTGGGCCACGGCCCCTCCGTCCCAGTCCCTTTGCTGCGGCCCATTCGTCGCAGTACAGTTCGTGTTGGGCTTTTGGGCGCACAGGACAGTTTGAAGTCAGCCAATTGGTGCAGGGGCTCGGGGGCTTTGGGAGTAGAGCGAGGGCTGCAGTTCAGAGGGAGGCTCTGTCAGTTCGGAGCCTCCCAAGGCGGCCGAGAGCAGCGCGGGGGAGGGATCCAGCCACAAAAGACGGGGGGAGGAGGGCTGTAGAGGTTCCCAGGGCCTCTCCCTGTGGAAGAAGGGGCTGGGAGGCGGCAAAGGTATTTCTACCCTGACTGGGGCTGCCCTAGTTAGTAGCACTTGGGGCTCTGAAACCCCCACTCCCACCCCGCCCTGCCCAGGAGCCCCTCGCCTGTCAGTTTGGAGTTTCTCGAGATGGCCAAGAGCAGCGCATGGGAAGGAGGGCTGTAGAGGATGAGGGATCCATCAGGTGGAGCTTTTGCAACAAGCTGGCGGGAATGGCTGGCCTGATCTTTTGGTTTTCCTTCTGGTTTCTGATGATCTTTTGCTTTTCCTTCTCCTGGTTTCTGAAGACCCACCTGTCCCAAGAGCCCTACTTGCTTCTAACCCCCATCCCCACCTCTTCGTTCCTTCTCTGCTTCTCCCAGGTTTCTGGGAGTGAAGTACCTGGCAAAACATATGTCTCACCTTTGATCAGAGCCTCCCCCTTCTGCCTAAGAACGTATCTCAGCTTTGATCTGTTCACACAGGGGGCCATTTGGCCCCCTGTCACACCAGGGGGCCAAATGGCCAAAGGAAAGAGATTAGGCAGATAAGGCTAATGAGGAGTATTCTATCCTTTTTGGAGGAAGATACAAATCTAATTAGGAAGCCAGGATGTTATTTTATGACGTTTCTGGCTGTATCAAAAGGAGTTACAACACTAATTCCAATCGCTTATTCTTTTCTCTTTCTCTGCTCATGGCTCTAGTCCTCCCAGAGATGTTTGGGGAAAGGAACATGAACAGAGAAAGAGAAAAGGATAAGCAATTGGAATTAGTGTTGCTCCTCACTCCTCTTCATTTCCATCTGTAAGGTCCAATAATAATACATTTAAGCTCATAAATGCCAAACAAGAAACTTAAACGGAGGCTACACTTCAGAGGTGTAACTCCTTTTGATACAGTCAGAAACGTCATAAAATAACATCCTGGCTTCCTAATTAGATTTGTGTCTTCCAACAAAAAGGATAGAATACTCCTCATTAGCCTTATCAGTCTAATCTCTTTCCTTTCTCTCTCCTCCTTCTTTTTCTTTCTCTCCCCCCCCCCCCACCTTCTCTTCCCGTTCGGTGTCAGGGAGGCAGGATCAGGTATAGGGGAGTTTCCACCCCTCCCCTTCCTTCTCCTAACAAGCATCTGAGGCTGTTTAGCCTTGTCCTAGTAAACTCCTTCCCTTTTCTGTGAATTTTCCTCTCTGGTAGAGGCACCAAAATAACTCAGATGATATAAGGTTTCCTGCTAGAGAAGTGGGTTGCACTAGATGATCTCTGGGGTCCCTTCCAGCCTGAATCTACGTCTAGTTATAATAACATTTGGGAACCCCACCTGATGGATCCCTTGCCCTCTACTGCCCCCTCCCTTTGTCTTTTGTGGCTGGATCCCTCGTCCTCTACAGCCACCCTTCCCCTCCCCCACCCCGCTGCTCTCCGCAGCCTCGGGAGGCTCCGAACTCACAGGTGAGCGGCTCTTGGCTGGGGTGGGGGGCAGAGCCCCAAGCGGTACTAACAAAATACCTTTGCCGCCTCCCAGCCCCCTCTTCCACAGGGAGAGGCCCTGGGAACCTCTACAGCCCCCCTCCCATCCCCATCTTTTGTGGCTGGATCCCTCCCCCACGCTGGTCTCAGCTGCCTTGGGAGGCTCCGAACTGACAGAGCCTCCCCCTGAACTGCAGCCCTCGCTCTACTCCCAAAGCCTCCGAGCCCCTGCACCGATTGGCTGGCTTCAAACTGTCCTGTGCGCCCAAAAGCCCAACATGAACTGTACTGCTGCAACGAATGGGCCGCGGCAAAGGGACTGGGACAGAGGGGCCGTGGCCCAAAGTGCCGAGGCGTAATAACACGGAGGCGAAATCCTGGTGGAGAAACAGGCAGCGCCAAAAGTTCAAGCCAAAAACTCCCATTCCGATCGGGACTGAGGAGAAATAATAGGAGTTACAACTTTAGAGTATATTGACTCCAAAGATAAACGGATGGATTTCCTAGTAAATAATTTTCAGTTCCAAACCTTTCTGAGTGGTACAAATACAGATAAATAACATAACCAAGAATTATCAAGTTTCTCAATTCTTTTCACTTACCTTCACAAATATCATAGGGAGTGTCTGTTTGGCTCTACTATAATGCCTTGCCACTCTGTATACTGTCTCAGGAACATAGTCCAACACCAAATTAAGATATACCTCATCTTTCTGGAAAGGAGAAAAAGCAAGAAAACAAGAAAAACTGTAGTAAGATATCCATATCATAATACTCATTACTATTATAGCATAGTATGGTTTTTCAAGCACATATAGAAATTTTTAAAAACTTTTGTTAAAATTTGTTATCTGACAAATGTCATTTCTGCAAAGGCTACCACTTATGTAAATAAGGTTATATAAGGAATGCAATAAAATTAAATCCTATTTCAACACCAACTTATCATATGAAGTTTATTTGAAACAGAGGTATAGAGATATGAATATTATGAAGTAAATTCATCTACTACATTAACGGGAAAGAATAAGAAAAAAGAGGGAAAGTGACAAAAGAGCTCAAGGGGAACTAGATAGTGAAATATATTGTGTGTGCTATAAAAAACTCTAATATTTTAAACATTCAAAATGTAACCTAAAAACAGATTCTACCCCCTGAAATTACACTTACCTTTTGACTATAGTGTCAAGAGATCTGCTACTAGCTAGAATATCTCTTTCTCTTTAACCACTTTAATCAGCTTCTTTCTAACTTCAAAGCACAAAGATTAATGTAGTATTTCACAAGAATGAGAACTGTATTTGTTGCTGTTCAACTACATATTTGTTCCACCAAAAAGAGCCAGACTGCAAATACTGCTTCAAATATTTTCTTTTTTATAAACTCCTTTAAAATACATGCTGCTTATATGTATGCATTACATGAATGCATTCAGCCACCCTATTTTTGTTGTCAGATAATGACAGATAATGGAGATGATCCACATTAAAGCTTTGTCTGTTGCTTGTATTTCTCCTACACATCTGTTGACATTCTAAAATATCTTTTTTTTCCAACTTACCTTCTCTCCACTGGAGTAAAAGAAATAACGTAATCTGACAATGTTACAATGATCAAGCTTTCTCATGATTTGAAGCTCTCGATTCTAAAAAAAAGAAAGGATATTATTGAAAAGGTTGCTTGCTAAAATCTCATCACTTCATATGATTTGATATAGGGCTTATACATTTTGTCAGTCTGAAAAAAGATACAATATATTCTGCATTAACTTTTACTGAAACAACATGCTGTATGAAAAAGGATTTTAGTGCACTTGGACAGTATGTTTAGTATTTAAAATCATTTAAAGTATATAATATATTAACAGGATAGGTTCAAATAAAATTAAAGCTCCATACAAATTACCAGAAAAATTGGAAGGTTCATATTTCTCAATTCCTAAGAAAATATGTGTTACAGTATATTAGAGCCTGCAAAGAATACTTACAGAATTGAAAAGCCCATTAAGTCTGTTAAATCCAACTTCCATTCAATGCAGGAATCTAAATTAAAGCATCCATCTAGGATGATTGTCTAGCTATCTCATGAGTCAACAAATGGAACACTTATCATTTTGGGCAATTGCTTCTACATTGTTGCTTCTAATATTCAGGTGGAATCCTCTTTTTACACCCTGAGATTATACAAAATAGGACTTTACTTTTTTTTCTATATCGTATCTTTTGGGTACCCCCTTCAATATTTTCTTCTCAGTAACATCTAAAATCCTCTTCATAAGAGAGTTTATAGGTCAGTATATATTCTCCCCTTATTAGAGAGATTGCCATGGAGGGCAGACAATTTTTTTTTATTATTGAAAAGTTTTACAAAAAAGAAATACAAAAAAAAATTTTTTTCCCCATGTTCCCCCCACCCTTTCCCCCTCTTCATCCCACCCTCCCCCCGACTTCCCAGAGCAAAATACAAGGTATTTCATTTAATCAAACATAAACTAGATTAATCTACTTATCCTCAAAGTACTGCCTCCCCCACTGAAACCTTAACTCCACTACAGATAACCAAATACTTCAAATATTAACATTCATTCATAAGCTATTTGATATTTTCTTGTCTGATACTTATTTTGAATATAATCAATCCATCTTCTCCATTCCGATACGTATCTTTCTTGTGTGTGGTCCTTCAAATACGCCGAGATTTTCGCCATTTCTGCTAGGTTTGTTACTTTCAATATCCACTCTTCAATAGTAGGCAAAGAGTCCTTCTTCCAATATTGAGCTACCAGCAGCCTAACTGCTGATATTAAGTTCAAAATCAATTTAGTCTCTGAAACTGTACAGTCCGTAATTATACCCAATAGAAACAATTGAGGAGTAAATTTCAACCTTCTTTTCAAAATGTTCTGCATCACCCACCAAATTTTTATCCAAAATGCCTTGATTTTCTTACAGGTCCACCATATATGATAATAGGTTGCATCATTACATTCACATCTCCAACATTTAGCTTGCCAGTTCGAGTACATACATGATAATTTTTTAGGATCTAAGTGCCATCTATAAAACGTTTTATAAAAATTCTCTCTCAAATTTTGCACTTGCGTAAATTTAACATTTCTGACCCAAATCTTTTCCCACGTTTCCATCATCACTGGTTCCTGAAAGTTTTGTGTCCATTTTATCATACAATCCTTAACCAATTCTGTTTCTGAGTCTATTTCCAGTAATGCATTATACAACCTTTTAATATGCATCTGACTTCGATCTCTAATCTGTTTCACCAAATTTTCCTCATTTTGCATAACCCCAATTTTTTGATCCTCCCTCCATCTAGCTTGAAGCTGACCATACTGAAACCAAGTATAAATTATCCCTTCTTCTTTTAATTCATCTAGAGATTTCAGTTGCAACTTACCCCTTTCCAAAAGAAGAAGCTCTTTATAGGTAATCACCTCTATTTTTTGCTCTATATTTATATTTTCTATTGCATGTCTGGGATTTGCCCATATAGGTATCTTATAGTTCAGCTTATATTGGTACTTTTTCCAAACCCTCAACAAAACATTTCTGAGTATATGACCCTTAAACACTTTATCCGCTTTTTTTTCATACAACAAATAAGCATGCCATCCATATAACAAATCATAACCTTCTATGTTTAACATTCTTTCTTCAGTTAAGTTAAACCAATCACTAATTTGTGATAAAGCTGCTGCTTCATAATACAATCTTAAATTAGGCATTTTAAGACCTCCTCTCTCACGTATATCCTGTATAATTTTCAGTTTCTTGTAAGCAAATAACATCGTTGTTAAATTGTTTCAAGTAGTGAAATACTTACTTTCTTTTTTGTGGTGATTTTAGGCCATTAACATTCCAAGATAGGAATTTAGTTGCCATCTTTAGCCTTTCGAAGCCTTGTGAGCATCAGCTGAAGCTCCTCCTCCACCTTACTCTTCAGCCTAGCTCCCCCCACTGCTTCTGTTTTTTGGACTTCTTGAGATGAATCTTGAGATTGTTGCCCTTTTGATTGTTGTTGTTGCAATTTATAAGTTGATCGGGTCAGTCGTTGTGCTTTCAGCTCTCCCTTCTTAGGTGGTTCCAAAGTTGGGGGTAAGCCCCCAAAATCCAAATCTTCTTCCATAATAATTACTCCAGCTGCAGCTTCAGTGTAGGTTTGTATCTGTTTTCCATCTTTTTCTTGTTGTAACATCTCCATTTTCTTCCTCCCCCCCCCCACCCCGGTGAGGGTGGGTATCCAGCCTGTAAAACATTTACATAAAAATCTTTTGCCTTCCAAACTGTGTTTAACCGGTATCTTTCTCCTTTATAAGTCACTATTAGACCAGTTGGAACGTCCCATCTGTATGCCACTTGTTGATTTCTCAACTCATTTACCAGAAAGCCAATGTCTTTCCTGCTTCTCAACATCTTTGGAGGAATCTCTTTCAGAACCACCACCTCCTGCCCAGCCACCTGAACTTTATTCTTGTAAGAAGCTTGTAGAATTTCATTTCTGATCCTCCTAGTTGTAAAGTAGATCACCACATCTCTTGGCAGCTGTCTTTGTTTTGCCAACCAGGAATTAACCCTGTAAATTTTATCAATTTGGATTGCCACATCTTCTGGTCTTCCTTTAATTATCTCCGCAATAGCATCAGCACAAATGTCTTTTAAATTTTCTTTGCTATTTTCCTTCAGGCCTCTCAATCTCAGAGCACACTCCACAGATCTGTATTGTAACATTACCAATTCATCATCCACTTTCTCTGTTCTAGTCATGACATCACCCATTTTGCTTTCCAAATTTAAGTTGGCTTCATTAATTTCTTCAACTTTCCCATCAAGCTGAATAACAAGGTTTTAGAGTCCTGATACAGCAAAAACAATATCATCTCTTATTTTATCGTGCTCCTTTGCAACTGCTCCCTTGATCAAGCTTATGTCTTCCTCAATTTTCTTAAATTTCCCTTCAACAAGTAATGTTAAATTGTTCATTGCTTCTCTCATTGCTGTTGCTTGATTATTCATGGCTTCTTTCATAGCTTCCTTAAAATCATTAAGTGCTGCATCTTGACTCTGGGTCTGGCTCTATGTATCAGCCGGAAGTTGTGCTTTCTATGTCACCACTGACACAACTGGAGACCCTCCCCCTCCTTTAACAACTCCTGGTTTCACTTGTCTAGAAGCCATTTCCCCCCCCCCTCTTTTCTTTAAAAGCTACAAAGTCCTTAAAGATGTTAATTTATAGTCTCTAATTTGCCAGACAGGTTTTTTTTTTCTCTTCCCTCCGCACTCTCAGTTCCCAGCAGTTAATAGGCAGCTAATCCACTCTCCCAGCGCAAAGTTCTCAAGCACTTTCGTTTTTGGCTTTCACTTTCAAAGCCCTAACAAAGACGCCATCTTCCGCCTCCAGCTCAAGATTCAAATTGAAACAAAGTAACTTCGGAGTTAAGCTTTGTACTTTTAAGGCTTGTTCTCCTGTTTTCCGCTCTGCCTGCGCTTGGGATCAATCAAACTCACTTTTAAAAGCAGGATCGGATCACGGCTTCTCGCCCTGCTTTTGCAGAGTCGTCCTGGCTCCAGAGCTTCTTGGCGGGCTGACTGAGGAGCTCTCACCCTCCAAGCCTCTGGAAATGATCCAGAGGACTTTCGGGGGGCTCTACTCTCGCCCACCAGCTCTCCTCTCCTTCTTTTCCCGAAGGAGAGTTTTTCTTTTTTCTTTTTTATTTAAAAAGTTTTACAAATACATTTTCTCCCCAGTTTCCCCCCCCCAAGCCCTCCCTAACCCTCCCCTCTCCCCAAGACTTCCTCAGAATAAAATCCAAATCAAAATTACATTTTATAAAACTTAAACCCCTCCACCCCGTGTACTGTTTATATCTTATATCAGTTGATCTATCCCTGCATAATACATTCAGCTAAAAGCTATCTGATATTTCCTAGTTTGATATTTATTCTGCACATAATCTATCCACTTTTTCCACTCCCATACATAAGTCTCTTGAGTTCGGTCTTTTAAATATGCTGAAATTTTCGCCATCTCTGCAAAACTGGCCATCTTCAAAGTCCATTCTTCAATAGTGGGCATAACATCATTTTTCCAATATTGACCTATCAATAATCTCGCTGCTGTCACCATATACAATATCAGCTTTGTCTCACCCAATGTAAAACCCTTAACTATACCCAATAAAAACAATTGTGGAGAAAACTGAAGTTTTTTCTTCAAGACATTTTGCATAACCCACCAAATTTTTATCCAGAAAGCCTTCGCTTTCTTGCAGGTCCACCATATATGATAATATGTGGCATCTAAGGAATCACATCTCCAACATTTTGGTTGAACATTAGGATACATACACGATAATTTCTTAGGATCTAAATGCCACCGATAAAACATTTTATAAAAATTTTCCCTCAAGTTCTGCGACTGTGTAAATTTAACATTCTGGACCCATATTTTTTCCCATGTTTCCAACATCACTGGTTCTGCAAAATTTTGTGCCCACTTTATCATACAATCTTTAACCAGTTTGTTTTCCGAGTCTCTTTCTAACAAAACATTATAAACCCTCTTAATATGCATTGGGCCTTTCTCTTTTATATGTCTAACCAATTCTTCTTCATGCATCATTATACCAAT